CCTGCTGATTCTGGTTAATTTTTCTGTGGGAACAGTAATGGATTTGGGGTACTCACTGGCCCAGTAATTTTAATTGTATTATTATGGACCATCAGATCCAGATAATTCATACCACTAACTCTGAAAAATCAAAATATTCCAAATTTTACTTCTTTGTAGATTTACTGCCAAATGCTTGAATGGTAGGAATTCAAGAACAGTGCAGTGCAATTTAACAGATTTCTGGCCTAAAAAATGTTTTGCAACTTCTCAATTTCATACAGTTAATGGAATGGTCGGAATGGAATTTAGACGTTGAGAAACGGTTGGCTTACAGCTTCAAGGCTAGATAGTTCCAAATTTACAGAAAGTTTACCTTCATTAATGTAGCCAAAATGGCTTCTTCTTCTTCTTTCTTTTTTTTTAAGAGAAAAGATATTAAATTATTTCTCAGTCTAATCTCTTTAAGCACTCAGTGTGTTTTCACAGTGCAAGGGGAGGAACTGCTCTCAGCCAACAATCTACCAGTGATTCTGACACACACAAAGCAACTCCAAATCACCATGCTTTATACTTACTTTTAATTGCTGCACTGGAAAAGAAAAGGAAGGTGTAAATGAGGACAAGTGAGCTTACAGGGACTCCATCTTTGCCTTTAAATTAATCTTTGCTCTTGGGGGCAGCAGGGGATAAAAAAGACAGGAGAGAAGTGGCTTCTGACCATACTTTTCAGCTATGCTTCCAACAGCAATGGGGTTAATCTAATATTTTTTTTCATGTGGTACCTCTGTCTCTCTCTCTACCCACGCGCAGCAGTCCGGGTCTTTTTGCACAGGTGACGCTATTGACTACTATCCCCCCTGAGCAGGCCCTGGGTCCCCATTAACGGGCTGAGACTTTCTGATGGGCGCAGTGGGAAAGCCTTGGCCTCAGCCTGGGCCACCAGTCACACCGTAGAGGTGCTCGCTACCTAGTTACCTGGAGGCCGCTACTCTCTTGCAAGGTCTTGGGCCTCCACCTACCCCAAGTTTGAAAGGATGGCTGGGGTTACCTAGCTCATTCCCTTTGGACCTTGAACTGGACTGCAGAGGCCCCAAAAACCAAAAGTCGGAGGTGGTAGTACACAGATCCGAAATGAAGCCTCGCTGTAGGTTGGAATGAGCAAACACCCCTTCTCTATCCTCTCTCCAACGCGGTAGAGAGAGTCACCAGAACTCCCCATTCCCTCCCCCGGCGCGCGCCGAGCACAGCATCTAATTGGTACGCCCTGTCCCCGAGCCCCGCCCCTCCTGCCCCGCGCCCCTCCCTCCGCGCCCCGAGGTTTTAGGTAAGGGTCTTCCAGACAGCGGACCCTTCCTCATTCTCCCTAATACCTTCATTTCACTTTTTAAAAGCTCGAGAGCCTGGCCCGGCCCTTGTTCCACCCTAAAGCCCTAAAATAAGGAAGGAGGCCTAGGGTCTGGAGGTCGTAGTGAAAGGGGGTCTAGTCCGGGGAGTGACAGGAGAAAGTTGGGGCGGCAGGGACGGCTGGCAGGAATCTTCGCTTCCCAAGCTTGGGATCTGGGGCTGACGGGTGATAGAGCCCAAGGTTTTCCCATCTGAAAAATAAGGGGTGTGCTGACTAGTTCCCAAGACCCCTTACAACTCTAAGTCAAGCGGTACTCCCAGGAGGTGTTCTGTGGTCGTCTTTAGAGTTAGAAGAGCCTATATAACGTTGTTCAAGCTGGGGCCGAGGGCAGGGGATTGGAAAATTGAGGCGGGAGGACTCTTGATTCCACCTAGTGAAGGATAAACAAGACTGGGAGATTTCAACAACTGTCTTCTAGACAGCATGTCATAGGGCCACAGTTTCTGGAGAGCCTCTAACTCCCCCGTTTTGTCTACAAGCCCTACCCCCCCCCCTGTCCCTCAGCACCTATTCTTTAGGTTCTGCCGGCTGGCCCCTCCTTCAGGCTATTTTAGTGCTGCCCAGGGGTTACTTAAGGCTGCACACCTCTGCTCTAAGGAATTAGATCTCCGAGATCATATCTAGGAAGCAGGGTGAGGGAAAAGGGACCAACTGTCTCCACGAGGCAGCGATGGAAACCAAAGAAGAGCCACAGAGCCAGGAAGACCACCAAAACCAGTACTGGTCTTTATTGAGGTGTCAGGGTGCAGTAACACCATGAAGGGGCAGAGCCTGAGGCCTTGAAGACACAGAGGCAGCATTTAAGGGTCTCAGACGAGCCTGGGTCTCCCGGCTAGGAGGAAGGCAGCCTGCGATCGGGTGCTCACAAGGACCTCAGGAAGTTCCTATATTTGTCCAGGAAAGAGGCAGACAGAGTATCCAGCTGTTGCCGAAGCTCCTGCACAGCCTCGTCCTGCTCTTGCTGCTCCCCCACCATCTGCTGCCTATAATAGCTGATGTAGAAGTTCACCCAGTCGTTCACCACAGTCATCATGTCTTCTTCAGGGACAACAGGACCAGAGAAGACCTGGGGGTGGGGGGTTGGATTGGGATAGGGGAGGTCAGGATTTGGCAAGGGAGACCACGCTCGGCCATGTGATTCAGGAATAACCACAAACTCTGACATCCTCTTTTCTCTGATTTGTATTACCTGTCTCTAGTTGTTTCCATCAACTCAACCATTACCCTCCCAGCTCCAAATTATTCTCCCTTCTCTGTCCTCGCCCACCTCCCAACGCTCCAGGCCTGTCCTCTGAAACAGAGCACCAGACTTACCTGCTGATTTAGCAGAATGTTAAATTCCTTCATTCCTGTAGCAATGAGATCCTTATTGGTTTGAAGAAGGGCCATCTGGCTGATTAGAGAAAGAGATGGAATTTAAGTATCTTTTTCTCCCAGGGTATTTCCCCCAATCTCCTCACTCCCCTTAAGCATCCCTGGGGCCCTGCAGGGTCACCTCCCCTCCACCACCTTTCAAACCCTGCCCTGCTCTGAGATCACATTTCCCCCAGGTTGGCTCACTGTCAGGTCCAACAGTGCTATGTATAGACGTCTCACCCACACTTTTCGGGGTCTGGATGTCCCTCTGTGCCAAGCTAGATGTAGACAAGGAGTCCAGTGTCAGCCAAAGAGGGAAACGCCCTGCATTTAGGTCCTGAGGGAGGGTGATAGGTCAACCAGGGGAGGGGAAGGAGGGAGAGGCTTCCCTGAAATTAGAAAGATAGCAAAGCCAAGAGAACAGATAAGTGGGGAGACCCAGAAAACCAAACCAGGGATAGAGCCATGCCCTCTCCCCCACATCCCAGAATCCAGGCTCCAAACGCTAACGAAACTAACAGTAACTGTTAGATGCCCTGTTATGAGAAAGGCACTTTTAAAATCATCCTAACAAGTGGTGGCAATTATTCTCCCAATTCATAGGTGATATATTAATAGCAGCTAACATTACAGTCATCATTTGTGCCAGGCACTGTTTCAAGCAAGTATTAAGGTATTTATTCTTGGGAGTTCCCTGGTGGCCTAGTGGTTAGGATTCAGGGCTTTCACTGCCATGACCTGGGTTCAATCCCTGGTCAGGAAACTGAGATCCTGCAAGCCACATGGCGTGGCCAAAAAAATAATAAGTATTTATTCTTATGAAAACTCTTGTTAGGCAAATTCCAATAAGTCATATTTTGCAGATGAGCCTTCTGTAAGATGGGGGGGACTGGACTCTACTAGGCTGAGTTCCACAGGAATGGAGACACACGTGTCTTATTCTCTAACATATCATCGGGTACTTAACAAAGCAAAACTACTTTTTTTCTTTTTCTAAAATATTTTCCTAATATTTTCCATTTTTAATAGATTTTTTCAAATTTCAAAATCACCATATAATAACTGAAATAAGTGAAACATTATAAAAATTCACACTGATAAGTGGATCATTTTTGCTCCCTCCCCCGACAAAGTAACCAGCATTCAAGACGTGTGTATTTCCTGTCACATCTTCCTCCATTCAAAAACCAGTTTTCATAGGCACCTATACACTCATGGCTTGTTGCTCTGCTTTTTTGTTTATAGCATTATCTTAATTAATACACAGCAAATTAACGTCCTTTTGGTGTATGATGTTTGGATTTTAATACGTAGATTCATGTAACTACTACCACAATCAGGATACAGAACATTTCCATTGCCCCAAAACTCCTTCGTGCTACCCCTTTGTAGTCTCATCCCTAAATCCTGCCAACCACTGATCTGTTCCCCATCACTACAGTTCAGTGTTTTTGAGGATGTCTTATGATGGAGTCACACAACATCTAACCTTTGAGACTGGCTTCTTTCACTCAGAATAATGCTCTTAAGCTCCATCCAAGTTGTTTCAAGTAGCAGTGAGTTGTTCCTTTCCATTGCTAAGTGTGCATCGTATGGATGCACTACAGTTTGTTTATTCATTGACCCACTGGAGGACATCTGGATTGTTTGCAGTTATTGGCAAGTATGAATAGAGCTGCTATAAATATTTGTGTACAGATTTTTGTGTAAACATGTTTTCATTTATTTAGGGTAGAAAGTATTTGTTACCACTAGGAGAAATAATTGCAATATGACCTGACCAAAAAAAAAAAATGTATACAGGGCTTCCCTGGTGGCACAGTGGTTGAGAATCTGCCTGCTAATGCAGCGGACACGGGTTCGAGCCCTGGTCTGGGGAGATCCTACATGCCGCGGAGCAACTAGGCCCGTGAGCCACAGCTACTGAGCCTGTGCGTCTGGAGCCTGTGCTCTGTAACGAGATGCCGTGATAGTGACAGGCCTGCGCACCGCGATGAAGAGTGGCCCCCCCGCTTGCCACAACTAGAGAAAAGCCCTCGCACAGAAATGAAGACCCAACACAGCCAAATATAAAATAAATAAATAAATAATAATAAAAAGAGCCAAGCATTTGAAGCCCTTTTAAAAAATGTATACAGAATTTAAAACAAACTCTTGATAGTTCAATAATAAGACAACCCAGTTTTTTTAAATGGCCAAAAGACTGGAACTGGCACTTCACAAAGAAGATATACAAATAGCCAATAAGCACATGAAGAGATGTTCAACATTATTATTCATCAGGAAAATGCAGATGAAAGCTATAATGTGATACCACTACATACCCACTACAGCGCCTGCAAGTTAAAAAGACTGATTAAATGTTGGTAAGGATATAGAACAACTAGAAATCTCATGCATTGCCAGTGGGAGGGTAAAATGAAATGTCTGAAAAAACAATTTGGCAATTTCTCATAAAGTTTAACATACACTTACCACATGACCTGGCAATTCCACTCCTAGGTGGAGTCCATACATGTCTACAAAAATACTTACATGCAAATGCAAATGTTCATAGCAGCTTTATTTATAATAACCCCAAACAGGAAACAACCCAAATGTCCAATAACCAGTGAGTGCATATACAAACTGTGGTATATTCATACAATGGAATACTACTCAGCAATAAAAAGAAACAGACTAATGGTACTCATGACAACATGGAAGAATCTCAAAATCATTATGCTGAGCAAAAGAAGCCAAGCACGAAAGACCATATACAGTATAATTCCATTTCTATGAAATTCTAGAATAAGCAAAAGTAATCTATAGTGACAGAAAGCACATTAGGGGTTATCTGCGATCAGAATACAAGAGTGGACATTAAAATGCACAGGTGCCCAAGAGAACTTTTTTAGATAATAGGAATACATATCTTGACTATGACAAGCATTCTTATATACTGTTAGTAGGAGTGTAAATTGGTAAAGCTTTTTAGAGGGATAGTTTGACAATACTTGTTCAAATTAAAACACACATACCCTTCAGCCCAACAATTCTGCTTTGGACTCATTTTAAAGAAATATTCATATTCAATGTACAGAAAGGCCTGCACAAGGAATTTATCATACCTATTTGTAATAGTGAAAAAAGCAATATGGGGAATCTTTATAGAAACTATGGCACATTCACACCATGGCATGACACGCAACTATTAAAATAAATGAGGTAGCTACATATGTGCTGATATGAAAAGATCTCAAAGACAATGTTAAATGAGCTATAATTAGAGCAGCCTACCTCAGGATGCAAGTATGGGAGAGGCGATTAAATGTAAAATTATGTTTCTTTCTCTGTCTCTCTGTCTCTCTCATGGTAAACAATGTTTACTTCTGGGCATTGACTGGTATTTGTTGAAAAATGGAAAGAGGGATAAATGTCAAGGGAGAATTTGACCTTCTCCATCTGTATTATTATTTGAATTATTTTAAAGCAAGAATGTATCCTTCCATTATTTTTATAATACTTAACAAGAATACAAAATAAAAAAGAAAGAAACAAGATGGTATAGTTCTGAAACCATTAGCCTCAAACTGGACACCTGCCTCAGGGCCTAGAAGAGTAGCAGCTTCTCACTAAATATCTGTTGAATGAATAGGAGAATGAATGCTTTTGCCACTTTTCAGCTCTGTCACCTTGATGAAGTCACTTCACACATGCAAACCCCAGTTTCTTTGTTTAAAGGAGGAATGAAATAATACCTATGAGGGTTATTGAGAAAATAAATTCATTCATAGAACGCTTTTAGCAAATTTCTATTTTGAAGGCAGTACATTGCACTAGATGGGAAGGAGAAAGGGAGAGAAGAGAGGG